CTTATTCTGAGCCGGGAAGACTCGACCATGGTGAGGGGCAGGGCCTGGGGCCTGGCTGGGGCAGGGGTTCCTGAAGAGGGGCCCACCTCACCACTGTTTCCCTCAGATCCTGCAGACGGGACAGGAGATCATGGAGCTAGACACCAGTGGCTTTGCCACACAGGGCCCCACAGTCTTTGCTGGAAACATTGGGGACAATCGCTACATCGTCCAAGTGTCACCGCTGGGCATCCGCCTGCTGGAAGGAGGTGGGTGGTGGGCTGAGCGGGCAGGTGGGTCCTGCAGAGGCGAGGGCTCACTGCTCTGTGCTCATAGTGAACCAGCTGCACTTCATTCCCGTGGACCTGGGTGCACCTATCGTGCAGTGTGCTGTGGCAGACCCCTACGTGGTTATCATGAGCGCCGAGGGACATGTCACCATGTTCCTGCTCAAGAGTGACTCCTACAGTGGCCGCCACCACCGCCTGGCCCTGCACAAGCCCCCACTGCACCATGTAGGCCCCTTCCCTGGTGCCTGCCCTTCTACCCCCATGCCCCCAACGACTGCCCCACCATTGAGCCCTGCCCCTCTCCCCGTAGCAGTCCAAGGTGATCACACTGTGCCTGTACCGAGACCTCAGTGGCATGTTCACCACCGAGAGCCGCCTGGGCGGGGCCCGTGATGAGCTGGGGGGCCGCAGTGGCTCAGAGATGGAGGGCCTGGGCTCGGAGACCAGGTGCGTGGGAGCCTGGGCGCTGGTGGGGGCCTGGGTCCCTGTGGCAGACTGGATGCCCGTGACACCTCTGCTGGCCCCCAGCCCCACGGTGGATGACGAGGAAGAGATGCTGTACGGGGACTCGGGCTCCCTCTTTAGCCCCAGCAAGGAGGAAGCCCGAAGGAGCAGCCAGCCCCCCGCTGACCGGGACCCTGCACCCTTCCGGGCAGAGCCCACGCACTGGTGCCTGCTGGTGCGGGAAAACGGAACCATGGAGGTGGGTGGCAGCCCACGCTATGGCACAGCCCATCCCGTCCCACTGCTGCCCCCACTGACTGCTGCTCCCCACCAGATCTACCAGCTCCCCGACTGGCGACTGGTGTTTCTGGTGAAGAACTTCCCTGTGGGGCAGCGGGTCCTGGTGGACAGCTCTTTCGGACAGCCGACCACACAGGGCGAGGCCCGCAAGGAGGAGGCCACACGCCAGGGGGAGCTGCCTCTGGTCAAGGAGGTCCTGTTGGTTGCACTGGGGAGCCGCCAGAGCAGGCCCTACCTGCTGGTGAGCATGGGCCAGGCCACCCCGCCACCCCACAGCCTCACCCCAGAGCCTGGCCCCGCGCCATCCCTATGTTCCCTCCCTGCTCCCCTAGGTGCACGTGGACCAGGAGCTGCTTATCTATGAGGCCTTCCCCCACGACTCTCAGCTCGGCCAGGGCAATCTCAAAGTCCGATTCAAGAAGGTGCTGGTGGCTGAGGGGGAGGGTGTGTGGTACAGGGTGGGGTGGGCATCCAGGCCAGCAGCATCTGGAGGATCTGGCCTTCATGGTGCCCCCCCAGGTCCCCCACAACATCAACTTCCGTGAAAAGAAGCCAAAGCCATCCAAGAAGAAAGCAGAAGGTGGCAACACTGAGGAGGGGGCTGGAGCCCGGGGCCGTGTGGCACGTTTCCGATACTTTGAGGACATTTACGGCTATTCAGGGGTAGGCATGTGGCTTTGGGGGGCCTAGGGGTGGGAGGGAGGCATGGCCTTGTCCACAGGACCCTCATGGCACCTGTTCCAGGTGTTCATCTGTGGCCCCTCACCCCATTGGCTCCTGGTGACCGGCCGGGGGGCTCTGCGGCTGCACCCCATGGGCATTGATGGCCCCATTGACTCCTTCGCTCCATTCCACAACGTCAACTGCCCTCGTGGCTTTCTGTACTTCAACAGACAGGTAGGAAGGCCAGCCTGGTTCCTGACAACACTCACTGATGCTGCCTGGGCCCCAGAAATGAGGTCCTAGACAGCTGGGTGCAGATGGTGGGGACAGGAGGGAGGTCCGGAGGGTGGTGGGGCTGAGGCTTGGTGCTGGGAAGGTCTGGTGGATGGGCTGTGGGAGTGGAGGGTGCAGCTGATGAGGGCCCTGTCACTGCACTGCCAGCCCAGCCCTTCCTCAGGAGCCAGATGGAGCTGGCATGAACCCCAGCTCTCCCCCTTAGTTGCTGTGTGATTTTGGGGAGGCACACACCCTCTTTGAGCCTGTTTACTCATCTGTGCTCCCAAGATGATAGCACCAACAACCTGGATTCTGACTGTGCTGTGGCAAGGGTTGCCCAGGTTTCCGACAGACTCAGAACTGTTGGTGAAGTAGAGTCTGGGGCTCCTTCTGTCTGTTTTTATAGTCCCTGGCATGGCCAGTCTGGGCCGCCCTTTGCCTGCAGCCTCCAGTGCCCTCTGGGCCTGGCCCTCCAGTCTGGGGCCAGTATCCCCAGCTCAGGAGAGTGGACAGGAACTCGCTGACAGAAGCCCAAGAAGCCTGGATGCCAGTGCTGTGGCCCCATCCAGGCTGCTGCCTGATGCAGTGGCCCCTTGCACCCTACTCTGGGCAGAGCCCTGGAGGCCTGGGTCTGTCTGCCCCACCCCATCCAGCTCCCGCTTGCTGACCCTGCCGCCCTACCCCAGGGTGAGCTGAGGATCAGCGTCCTGCCTGCCTACTTGTCCTATGATGCCCCGTGGCCTGTCAGGAAGATCCCACTGCGCTGCACAGCCCACTATGTGGCTTACCACGTGGAGTCCAAGGTCTGCCCTGCCCTAGTGCCCACTGCCCCCGACAAAGGACCGCTGGGCCTGGCCTTTGATGTGTGACAATCTCCCACTCCCAGGTATATGCCGTTGCCACCAGCACCAACACACCATGCACCCGCATCCCACGCATGACTGGTGAGGAAAAGGAGTTCGAGACCATTGAGAGAGGTGCGTGACACCAGTACCACACTCCTGTCCCGGGCTTTGACTCGGGGCAACCCTGCCATGACTGTTGGCCTTGGTCCCTGCAGATGACCGGTACATCCACCCCCAGCAGGAGGCTTTCTCCATCCAGCTCATCTCCCCGGTCAGCTGGGAGGCTATTCCCAATGCCAGGTGAGGCTGGGCTTGGGTGGGGGCTGCCTGTGGCTGGCAGGGACAACACCCTGACATGCCTGCCCCGTGCAGGATCGAGCTGGAAGAGTGGGAGCATGTGACCTGCATGAAGACGGTCTCGCTGCGCAGCGAGGAGACTGTGTCAGGCCTCAAGGGCTATGTGGCCGCCGGGACCTGCCTCATGCAGGGGGAGGAAGTCACGTGCCGTGGGCGGGTAAGGGTCTGGCAGGTGGGGGTCAGACGGCAGGTGGAGGGCAGGCAGCCCCTGACAGCCTTTCTGCCACCCAATGCATCCTGTGCCCTGCCAGATCCTGATCATGGATGTGATTGAGGTGGTGCCTGAGCCTGGCCAGCCCTTGACCAAGAACAAGTTCAAGGTGCTTTATGAGAAGGAGCAGAAGGGGCCTGTGACCGCCCTGTGTCACTGCAACGGCCACCTGGTGTCAGCCATTGGCCAGAAGGTATGCCACTCCGTTACCCGCCCCCTGCTCCCCACCCCCTGCGCCCTGTGTCTCCCCTGGCTCATCCCCCTTCTGCCCCCCAGATCTTTCTGTGGAGCCTGCGGGCCAGTGAGCTGACAGGGATGGCCTTCATCGACACGCAACTCTACATCCATCAAATGATTAGTGTCAAGAACTTCATCTTGGCCGCAGACGTCATGAAGAGCATCTCGCTGCTGCGCTACCAGGAAGAGAGCAAGACGCTGAGCCTTGTGTCTCGGGTACCCATGGGGCCTGGGTACCTCGTCTGGGTGGGCACAGGCCCAAGGCCGATCCTGACACCCTGCCCCTCCTGGTTCCAGGACGCCAAGCCCCTGGAAGTGTACAGCGTGGACTTCATGGTGGACAACGCTCAGCTGGGCTTCCTGGGTGAGCGTGCAGGGCCTTGGGGGGAGGCTGAGACTTTGGGGTAGCCAGGGCTGACTGGGCCTCTGCTCCCCAGTGTCCGATCGAGATCGAAACCTCATGGTGTACATGTACCTGCCGGAAGGTGAGTGGCTTCTCCCACCCAACCTCTGCCCAGGCTGGGGGCTGGGCAGGCAGTGACCCAAGGTCCTTCTGGTCTAGCCAAGGAGAGTTTTGGGGGCATGCGCCTGTTGCGCCGGGCAGATTTCCATGTGGGTGCCCACGTGAACACGTTCTGGAGGACCCCGTGCCGGGGGGCCACTGAGGGACCCAGCAAAAAGTCGGTCGTGTGGGAGAATAAGCACATCACGTGGTTTGGTGAGTGCCTTGGCAGGTGTGTTGGGTGTGGGGGGTACTGGAGTGTGGGGGTATGGCCTCGCTCACACTGCACCCCGCAGCCACCCTGGACGGCGGCATTGGGCTCCTGCTGCCCATGCAGGAGAAGACCTACCGGCGGCTGCTCATGCTGCAGAATGCGCTAACCACCATGCTGCCCCACCACGCCGGCCTCAACCCCCGAGCCTTCCGGTGAGCCCCACACTGTCCTCCCCAGTCCCATCTGCTCTCCCGGGTCTTCCCTGACTACTGTCACTTGCACATGCCCTAGGATGCTGCATGTGGACCGGCGTGTCCTGCAGAACGCTGTGCGGAACGTGCTGGATGGGGAGTTGCTCAACCGCTATCTCTACCTCAGCACCATGGAGCGTGGCGAGCTGGCCAAGAAAATAGGCACCACGCCTGACATTGTGAGTGGGCTTCAGCCCCAGCCTGCCCCAGCCCACCCCAGCCTGCCTACGGGCCTCACCTTCCCCTACCCCACAGATCCTGGACGACCTGTTGGAGACAGATCGAGTCACCGCCCACTTCTAGTTCTGTGGATGCTGCTGCTGCTGCTCCTGGACTACCTCCCACTCCCCCTTTTTGTACAAAACACAAGAAAAAAGATTTGTTTAAGATGAGCATGTGGTCATTGCATGGCTGCCTGGCCTGGCTGTGGTCACAGCCCCACAGTGTGTCCCCCAGTCCCGGCTATAGTTGCTCCATCACCCCTGGGTCTTGGGGTGTCCGCACTGCCAGCTCAGGCCAGCTCGGTCAGGCCTATGGCTGGGCGAGCCCTGCTGGCCCTGGGCAGGTCCGAGTGGTCATCCTGGCCTCAGGGCTCCCTAGGTCTCCAGGTACTGGTAGAGCTCCTCGGCCTGGGGCACAAGGCCCAGGTGGGCCAGAACACGAACCAGGAGGGCGGTGAGCCGCATGGCCAGGATTTCCAGCCTGGGGAGGGTGGAGTGAGGTCACAGGTTGGTGGGAAGCAAACCCTGGCCATGCCCCACCAGCTGTACTCATTCACTCACCTCAGAGCCACTTCGAATTTGAGCATCTCCCAGATGACCTTGATGTGGCGCAGGAGGCTGATGCCATAGATGCCCTGGTACGCTGCACCCACCAGGCGGCTCCAGCCCCTGACCGCCCTGCACAGACCTACAGGTTGGCCCTAGCCTTCCCTTGGCCCCACCCCTGCCCCACCCCTCAGGGCACCCACTCAGTCACCAACCTCTTGGCCATGAGGAAGTAGCGGTCAACGGGGCTGCCCAGGGCCGTGTTGATGGCGCGCACGGTGTTGATGTTGCGCAGTACAAGCAGCATGGACCGTGGCAGGGCCTTGAGCACCGCCATGATGCCTTCAAAGTGCTCCTGGGCCATGTCCTGCATGTAGGCCACCTCCTCTCGGCTTAGCAGGTGGGAGCCCCACAGGTGCCCCAGGCGTACAGGCCGCTGCATGAGCATCTCAGAGAACAGCAAGTAGTCTGGGGAGGCGGATAGGCCTGAACCAGGGCTGTGTGCCTAGCACCTGCCGCCCCCACCCTGGCAGCCCCCATGTACCTGCCTCACCTTGTACCCCAAGTGCAGCTGCATGTGTCTTCATCGCAGCGTCGTCCCTCAGGATGATGGCTCGCCAGAGCTGGCACAGGGCTGACCGGTCCCTGTGGATGGGCCCAGCCCAGCCATGAGCCCAGAGCCCCAGGGCAGGAAGGTCCGCACTCAAGGCAGAGGCTCAGCCAACCCCACCCCAGGGCTTACTTTTCGTCTAGAAACTGGTAGAGCCCGTGGTCCAGCAGCACCAGCTCCGCCTTCCCATCTGGGCCTTTCCGAACCAGAACTAGGGACACAGCATGTTGGCTCCTGCTACCCCACCAGAGACCCCCGCGCCCAGGGGAATTTCCTACCATTGCCAGGGTGGGGGTCAGCGTGGATGAAGCCAGTGTAAAATATCTGCTCAGCAAAAGCCTGGATCAGCTTCTCTGCCACCTGGGGAGAGAGTGCAACGTGCAGTGGGTGTGGATAGCACCCTGCCACCCCGCCCCGTGAACGGCACTCACGTCCTGCACTGCCAGCCCCTGGCTCGTGATGGCCTCAACGTCGGTGACCTTGCAGCCGTCACAGAAGTCGGCGGTCAGCACACGCTGGGAGAGAGCAAGAGGCTACACTCAGCAGGCCTGCACCGCCCCCACCCGAGAGGTGCCTGGCATAGCGCACCTTGCTTGACTTGTCCCAGTGCACACGGGGAACCACAAGGTAGCGGAAGTGCCCCAGCTCCTGTGCACAGCGCTCAGCATTGCGACCCTCGTTCTTGAAATCCAGCTCCTGGGCCAGGGTGCCCTTCAGGTCCTGGGGGCCACACACAGGCGGTCAGGGTCAGGGTCAGGGACCTGCCCTTCCTCCTGGCACATGAAGGGGGCAGCTTGCTCCAGCCTGCCCAAGCTGGTCATTACCTGCAGGACCCAGCTGAAGCCAAAGCTGGGGTGCATGAACTCGATGAGCTGCAGCAGGAGCTCCAGGGTGTGGATGTCTCCATCGAAGCGGTCCTGCAGGTCGATGTACTGCACCTGCACCAGGCAAGGGCACAGCAAGGGCCTGGGTCCCACCACGAGCCTCAGAGCCCACTGTGGCACAAGGCAGACCCCCACGCACCTTCACAGCCACAGCAGTGCCATCGTGCAGTGTAGCTCGGTGCACCTGGGCCAGGCTGGCGGCAGCCATTGGCTGGTAGTCAAACTTCTGGAAGAGCTCGTGGGGCAGGGCCTGGAAATCCTCAAGGAACAACTCATCCACCTGGCAGGAACAGGTGTTTTGAGAAGCTGGGGGGCTGCTGGAGCCCCTACTGCCCGCCCTCTGCCCCAGGAGGCAGGGCTCACCTCCCGGAAGCCACGTGTGAGGGCTCTGTCCTCCAGCACGTGCAGGGTCCTGATGTACTCCGGGGGTAACAGGTGGTTGAAGGAGCACAGGCCTTGGCCAAGCTTCACGTAGAGGCCCCCATTGCAGATGGCGCCTGCCACCAGGGCATCGGCTGCCCGCTGGTGACACGCAGATAGCACCTCCAGGTACCCCGGGCTGTTCTGACCGTAGGCATGGAGGGAAGGGATGGAGGGCAGCTGACCACCTCCCTAGGCCCACCCAGTGCCTGCCACCTCCAGTGTACCCCCCGCCATGTGCCCAGTGCACAGGTCCAAACCTCTTCCACCCCTCGTAGGACGATGTTTGTGCACCACCAGTAGTCTAGGGAGATCTGCAGACCGATCCTCAGAGACCTGTGGGCAGAGGTGGCCCTTAGCCCTGACAGGCAGGCTCTGGGTGCTCCCACATATGGTCCCTCAGTTCTCAGAGCTCTCTTGTGGTCTGATCTCACCCTGCCAGCCCCTCAGGTCCTTGTGAGCACATGGGGAGATGCCGAGCCCATGGGGTACCCTTTGGCCCCTCTACTGGTGACAGTGCCTGCAGGTCAGTCTCTTGATCTGCAGATGGGCAACCTGTGTCCATGCCACCCTCAGTCCCTCCCTGGGTACCCACAGGCACCCAGGAAGGATGGGACAGGGGACAGTAGGTGGATGGAAACCCCAGAAGAGTCAGGGCTCTGACACAGCCTGTTAAACAGGAAGGGCTGGGTCCAGGCACAGGAAGGCAAGGGGTCCAAGTATGGATGGCAGGTGTGACTGGGGCAGCAGAGGTCACAGGAGGGTGCCTGAGGCCCACCAAGGTGGCAGGGAGGCACAGGGAAGCAAAGTCTGCAGGGAAAGGGCTCCAGATAGGGTGGGAAGTGGGGGGCCCCCTGGGTGTGCTCACCAGGTACTGGGCTCCCCAGGGGAGGTTTAGGCAAGGAGGATGCAGGGAAGGGGATGCTGGAAACGGGCTCCCTGGACCTCCAGACCTGCCTCAGGAGCATCTTGGGGTGGTGCACACAGTGGCCAGCCTACACAGGCCAGAGGCCCCATCCCACACCCCTGTCCAGCTCACGCCCTGCCTGGGAAGGGCTCTGGCTGCCCAGGTGGGCTCTGTGCCCCCAGCACTCCAGGGAGGCCTCCGGCCCAGGCCCCACTCAGCTCCCACAGAGCACCTGCAGTATGGTGCTATGGGTCGGGGCAGGGATTCCCAAATGTGCCCTGAGCCCTGAGGCTTGAAGGCCACTCTGAGGTGGGGATGCCTGTGGGCAGAACCGACCTACAACCAGAGCACATCATACACGAGATTCTCACGAACTTTCGTCGGGGGCTGCTTGTAGAAAGGTGCAAGGATGCGTCCAGTGAGGGGAAGTGGGGCATCCGTCACCTCTGCCCGTGACAGGCCTGGCTGGATGGAGTTGATGCCAAAAACGCTCAACAAGTCAACTGGCAATGGAGTTTCCAGTAGATGCTGACGTCCCATAGCGATTGGACAGGAAGGCGGGGACGGAGGACAGCGGCCTTGCTGCAAACCACCCGACTGGCCTTGAGGGCCGCCCTGTCCACTTAGCCCATCTTTTTCGGGGAAGGGGGAGCTACGGCCACCCCTACATGCACACGCACAAACAGTGTGCACACACGTGAGCACAAGACCCCAGCAGCGTCCTGGGGGCCCAAGTACACTCCTGTAGGGCTGGGTCCCAGAAATCAATGCCTGTTTGCACTTCAGCCAACATGAATGAATTCTATCACCTAGAACTGAGGAGAGTCTAACAACACAGCAAGCAGGTTTGACACAGTCAAGAAAAGTTACATCAAAAATGGCTAAAATTTGGCCGGGCGCGGTGGCTCACGCCTGTAATCCTAGCTCTCTGGGAGGCCGAGGCGGGCGGATTGTTTGAGCTCAGGAGTTCGAAACCAGCCTGAGCAAGAGCGAGACTCCGTCTCTACTAAAAATAGAAAGAAATTAATTGGACAACTAAAAATATACAGAAAAAATTAGCCGGGCACGGTGGCGCGTGCCTGTAGTCCCAGCTACCTGGGAGGCTGAGGCAAGAGGATCGCTTGAGCCCAGGAGTTTGAGGTTGCTGTGAGCTAGGCTGATGCCACGGCACTCACTCTAGCCTGGGCAAAACAGTGAGACTCTGTCTCAAAAAAAAAAAAAAAAAAAAAATGGCTAAAATTCTCAATCTCGAGGTACTAAAGAAGCAACGTGAACATGGGCTGGGGACTGCAGGGGTGTGGACGGGTCAGAGGCCAGCATGGAGAGGCAAGGGCTGAGCCCGGCAACATCGTAATATTTTTTATCTGTTTTCCAGAGACAGGAACTGGCTCTGTGGTCCCACTGGAGAACAGTGGTGCAATCACAGCTCACTGCAGCCTGGAACTCCTGGGCTCAAGCCGTTCTCCTGTCTTGGCCTCCTAAAGTGTTAGGAGTACAGGTGTGAGCCACTGTACCTGGCCCTACATTTTTGTTTTGAAATAATTTTTTTCTTTTCTTTTTTTTTGAGACAGAGTCTCGCTCTGTTGCCCAGGCTGGAGTGCCATGGCATCATCCTAGCTCACAGTAACCTCAAGCACCTGGGCTCAAGCGATCCTACTGCCTCAGCCTCCAGAGTAGCTGAGACTACAGGCATGTGCCACCATGCCTGACTAATTTTTTCTATTTTTAGTTGTTCAGTTAATTTCTATTTTTAATAGAGACGGGGGTCTCGCTCTTGCTGAGGTTGGTCTCGAACTCCTGACATCAAGCCTTGGCCTCCCAGAGCACTAGGATTACAGGTGTCAGCTACTATGCCTGGCCCTTGAAATAACTTCAAATGTCCACAAAAGTTGCAAGAATAATCCAAAAAAAGTTTTTCTTTTTGAAATATTTGAGAATAAGTTGTCGACATGACCCATAACCCCGAACCCTTTAGAGCATATTTCCTATAAACAAGGACACTGTCCCACATAACCATAATCAGGAGACTAATATCTCACAACCCTCTAATGTGCAGACCTTTTTGTGTGTCACCAGGTGCTCCAATGACATCCTTTTTAGCAAAAGGATTTAGGTGCAGGGTCACATGTGGCTATTAGTTATCATCTCTGATCTCTTCCAGTCCCAACAGCTCTCAGGCCCTGCTTGGCATTTGTGACTGCCTGGAGTTGGCCAAAGTCAAGGTGAAGGGCGTAGTCTTCTAGGCTGCCACGTCCGCCTAGGACTTCTGAAACCAGCTGCAGGTGTGTGGGTCCCGAGGACCACCCTCACTTCAGATCAGCTGACAAGTCTGGCAGTGCCCAAAGACTCCCTCGGTTTCAACAGCTCTCGAGAGTGACGCAGAACTCAGGAAAGTGCTGTACTTGGGGTTAGGTTTTATGTTAGCAAAGGACAAATCCAAAATATCCCGAGGAAGAGATGCACAGGGTAGGGACTGGAGGGTCCCAAATTCAGAGCTTCCGTGTCCTCAGAGACTTACTCTGTGTGACCAGGAAGCTTGTCCAGGCGTGAGCGTCTGGAGTTTTTATTGGGGTGTCAGAGGGAGGCATGTGGATTGACTCAGCCCCATGACTGAGCTCAGCTTCCAGCCCTCCCCCTCCCTCGTTAGCATAAACTGTCAAGGCCACCACGAAGGCAGAGACACTCCTGCCACTTGGCGAACTCCAAGGACTTAGAGGCTATCTCTAGAACCAAGGACAAAGACCAGACCTCTCCGGGTAAAGTTAATTCTTCACTGCACACAATTTGACACATTTGAAGATTACAGTCTAGTAGTTACATTGCACAGCTAGAGGGATAGGGTTAGCTCTTGCACTGCCTGGGGCTGCTGCCTCTGCAGAGTTGCATGGTTGCAACAGAGACTATGTGGCCACAAGGCCTATGATATGTCTCACGTTTCACAGAATTTCACCAACCCCATCTCCTCCCCTGGTGCTTGTCTACCTCGTTCCCAGTTAGTCAGCTGACCCACTTTCAGCAGGGATGCCGCAGAGGCGAGGTGGTGCTCTGCTCCTGCATTCCGTCTATGTCACCATCTGGTTTCCGCGTCATTAGGTGTTTAGTGAGGGGCTCTGAGGTCACATTGGTGTCGCTCTCTCCGTCCTCCCACCGATGAGCTTAGCACCCACTGCTCCTCCTTGGGTGAATTAATGACCACCGTGACGGTGGATTTTCCAGTCCAGTCATTCCTGCAGCACTTGCCGGCTGGCTGTGAGGGAAAGCCTCTCTGCCCCCATTAGCACCTGTCACTTCATTCCTATCACGCTATGCTGTGGGCTTCTGTCGATACTATTAGTGTTTGTTCCTAGGACTGTCCCAGACTTGGCTTTGGTGGCCTCCTTGTGCTTTTCTCATCTCCAACATTTTACCGTGAAAAAACTCAAACATACAGCAGAATTGAAAATACTTTTGTGATGATCCAAGTTCACCCACCCCTAGATTTTCCACCGACAGTTCCTTGTCCTTTGACGAGACTCCATTTTCTGAGCGCTTCATTTCTTGCTGGCAGCGCTGGGTGCTTCAGGCTCACCCTGGCCTCTCCCTGCCCAGCTGGAACCAGCCTTTCTCCAGGGAGCTTGTGCCTCTGGGTGCACAATGGCCTCAGCGGCCACACTGTAGATGCTGGAGCACTGGTGCTCCCAGGCCCTTTTGTGACCCAGAGCTGCGAGGTGTCTGTGTGACACGTGCACGCACTGCACATGTTTATGCGCTCATTGCGTGTCTAGCTTTAGACAGCACAAACCATGGGTCCCCACATAGCTCCCATTGCAACACAGAGGTCACTCTGGCTTTCTCCCTTTTGTGTTTCTGACTTCCTTGCAGCTGTCCCCAGCACAGTGACTCATTCCATCAGTTGCCCTGAATGTAGCCACTGCCCTCTGTGTGGACAGTCCCCTCCCCTCAGGACCCTGTGCTGGACCTTGTTCAGTGCCACCAAAGGGCTCTCAAACTGAATTATTCAGGAAGGAGGGAAGCCTCCCTCGTGTCTTGGGGAGCTCAGAGCACCCTACATCCTTGCTACCTCCACACAGACAGCTGCGAGTGCAGGTTCCCATTTTGTCTTCTGTGTCAGGCTGGGAGAAGTCGGAAGATGCAGTTTGTGCAGGACAGTCTGGCAGGAGCAGGGCATGGCCTGACCTACTTATTGCTTCCGTGACAACGGGGACATGCACCCTGGCAAGGGCAGGAAACCCTCTAGAATCTTAGCAGCCTTTTCCTTCCCATGGCCAGCTCAGGTCAGACACTGCCTTTTTGTTCCAGCCCTTCCTGAGGTGAAGGTGGCCAAAAAGGGGACTTCAGAAGGAATTGCTGGCCTCACGGGGCTTCTCGTGCCTTGAGGAACAGAGCCTAGGTCCCTCACTCACCGGAGCCTGGGGCAATGGAAATGAGTGAGGCCTCCCACCAACACCCAGAGAGCCTGGCCCTCTCAGGGCCCACTGAATCCCACCCCATGGGGCTCCTGTCCCAGAGGTCCAGCAAGCCAGCAGGCCCTGTCTCCACCTGTAGGGCTGATGGTTGGCAGGGGAGGGACAAGCTGGGAGGGAAGGCACAGCCTCAGACGGGAACAGGCCAGGGGTTCTTTGTCATGTCTCAGATGGATCTTATGAAGAGTGTGCATCACTTTTGCAGTTATAAAAGTAAAAGAACAAAAAGGCCTTCCCTGGCGCAGGCCCCTGAGACAGCCTGTCCTTGTGCCTTCTGCACTGTGCCTTGGTGGACAAGCCTCCTCCCTGGAGTCCTTGAGCTGCAGACGTGCCCTTGGAGCCACGTTTTTAAAAATTAAATCCTTTCTTTCCCAAGCAGAAGTCTATGGAATTTTTTCACATCTTTACTACAAAAGTATTGTTTACTATAAAAAATTTTAATAGTCGAGAAGTTAGAAATGTTGAAAACTCCCCTTAATCCTACCCCAAGGGTGAAAATTCTCAAAATTTGTCAGTGCATCAGCCCATACTGTGTACAAATATAACTTAACAATCGAAATGTAGAGCCAGGTGCAGCAGCTCACACCTGTAATCCCAGCAAGGTGGGAGGATCGCTGGAGCCCAGATGATATTTAAAAGTTAAATTTAAATAAAGAGTGGGAAGGGGCTTAAAGACCAGGGCTCTGAGCCAAAGAGAAACATTATCTCAAACCTTCTGCCATCTGCCACCCAGATAGTCCCTGAGCAGTTGGGCCCTTCTGACCTCTGCTCCCTTCTCTCACGGTAAGCTGGCCCCAATGACTCCCTGCCCTGGCTCTTTCCTGGGCTCCTGTGTGGATGCTGCCCTGTTACTCAGATCATGTGTCCCCAAGTCACCCTGTGACCCACCAGGAATGCTCCATAGGCATGACTGTCCTGGCAACTAACGATCAGGGCTTAGAGCTGAGAAGAATGTACAAACTGTTGGGAAAGTGAGCAGTTCTAGCCCCCTCCCTGCAACCCCGGCTTGGCTCCTGCAAGCAAGCTGTGAAAATGCATATTCCCACTGAGTGCACAGAAGGCAGGCATGCAGAGCCTGTCACTGGGCATCTGGACACCGGGAAACAGCAGTTGTGAGACAGTGCGAGACAAACCCAGACCTGCCCAGAATGCGCTTCAGACCCAGGCTGTGTATGGACAGTCACCAGCAGCCCTGTGAGGTCACTGTGTATACCATAGTGGAGAGTCACAGAAGAAAAGACAGAGAGGACCTCAGGCTGTGGACACAGAGGACACTGCCCAGAACCTGCCAGCGGGGAAGACCAGGAGCTCCAGGCAAAACCAAACACTAGGGAGGGAGATGGTCGTGGGACAGACTGTCTCATCCTGGCAGCTGAAACTCTTCAAGCATCCACCCACCCCATGCCTACGGTCACTGCTGGAGCGAATCCCAGTGGAGCCTCTGGTAGAGGCTGAAGGCCCTGGGAATCCCAAGCTTCCCTGAGAAACTGACCAAGGCTTGGGGAAGCAGCAGGTGCTCAGAGCTGGGCAGAGCAGGACCCCCCAGCTCCCTCATGCCCTGTCCGAAGGGGCTCTGTGTGAGCTGAGGTTTCTCTCAATGCCAAGAGCCAGGCCCCACGAGGCCTAGGCTGGGCAGGGCTCTGTGGCTGCAGGAACTCCTGGGTCCGACCAAAAGCAGGAATGCCTGCCCGAGGGCTCCAACAGGAAACACCCCCTTACCCTCCCCGCCAAGTTCTGCAACAGGGGATGAAGGAGACTGAGGAGGGCCTTTGGTGTCAGGTACCCTGACAGTGACCACCTCGTGTTGTGGCCTCTAGGAGCAGAGACGGGGTGGCCTCTCCTCCAGGCCCAAGCCTCTCTGCCCAGATGCCAACTCTCCTTGGGATAGGTGGGGGCAGAGGGGAAGGAAGAGGGGGCAGCTGCTCTGTGGGAGCCAGAAAGCCCGGGAGAAGAGGCACCAACCAAGGCCACCCTCAGGCCAAGGCTGACTGGGGAAAGGTCTGTGGAGAATGTGTTGAATGTCAGGGACTCACGTCTGATGGCCCCACCAGTTAGCACCTTCCCACATAGCAAAGGACGCCTGGAAGGCAACTATAAAGTCCCCAGGAAAGTCCACGGCGCCCCCGGCCCCAGCCCCCACATGTGAAGTCAGGCAGGGGAGAAGGCTGCCTCACCCCACCCCTGGCCAGCGGCCCTCCTACCTGCCAAAGCGCCCAATGCTGTCCACCATGAGCCGCATCCTCCTCTTCTCTTGCGCCTCTGCTGTGAAATAGCGGACTCCCAGGAGCAGGGGCACTCCCACCACTGTGGCAGAGAGCGCCTTCCTCCATAGGGGCGCGGGTCTCGAGGACCTGAGGGAGACAGAGGCTCGTGTGTGGAGGTGCTGCCCTCCCCATCGGCCAGGCTCCACAGGCCTCTGCTCCCTCCCTCCTCTGCCCCCCAGCTGCTCTCAGTACTGTGTGCACAGTGCACAGCCACTCAGACCACTGTGACACTCAGGTCACCAGAGAACACCCACGGCAGCACAACACCAGACAGGCCCAGGGCAGATCTCCTCTGGGTCTGTCCAGAGGCCCAGCTATGGGGCCAGTGGAGGTAGAAATGGCTCCTCAGCTCGCCTGGAAGGAATCAGTGACAGGTCTGTGCCCCTCATGGCGCTAGAGTCACCCACACTGTACAAAATTACAACCACCATCCACCTCGCCAAGGTCCAACTGGATCCTGTTAGGACAGCAGCAGCTGGGCAGGACGCTGAGGTCAGCACACACTGAACCACGCCAGACCTCAAAACAGGGAGTAGAGCAATCAATGAACACAGGAGGGGCTCCGCATGCTCGTGCAGCAGGAGCTCGAGCACCTGTTTCTACACCCAGTCGTGCACGTGTCCCAGGGTCTTCTGTGCACAGAGCGCTGGGAGTGAGGTGCCCTCCACCAGGTTCACCGAGCCATGAGCTGCTCAGGCTGCCCATGGCCGTCCAGCCTCACTGGCCTCAGGGGCCCTGTCTGGCCTTTCCTCTCTCAGAGCCCTGCTCTCTGCCCCTCTTCCTGAAGCTTTCTCCTCTCGTCTGGCGCCCCCCTACACTCTCCTCCGTCTCCAACTATCACCATTTGTTCTCTTCGGAGCAGGCGGCTCTGTCTTCCTGACTTGCCAGCCACCCACGCAAAACCTTGTTGTCAGGGAGTAGCCCCGCACTGTGTGCCCCATCCTGAGTCAGGGCCTGGGGTCTTGGGCCCAGGGCGCTGCAGTGAACAGCGAATGCAGCCTGCCTTGGTGGGGGGCAGGGAAGGGGCCCGGCCACCAGCCCTGCCTGGCGAGAGGTGGTGCCCCACCTGTGGATGACTCTTACCTCGAAGGCAGGACCCTGAAGTTTCTCCTAAAGAGCACTGCAGGGGGCGGCCAGGGCTTCTGCCCACTCTGCAGCAGAGCAGAGTGGAAGTGGCAAAGCTGCAACTGCAGACAAAACAGCACAGTCAAATGAGGCAGGGATGCGCCCTCCAGCTCTGTCACCACCCAGCGTCTACACGGGCTGGAACTCGAGGGGGGCAAGATGCGCTCCCTGAACTCACTACTCAAACACGTCACCTGAGATGGTCGGCGCTTCCTGCCAGGCTCCCTCGTTTGACTCGGGAGTGAAAAGACAACCCTACCTCTTGGAGTAGGGCTGAGAGTCAGCGTGTCACAGGAGGGAAGTTAAACGCACGGAACCCAGGGACTGCCACCTCAAATGGTGACAGGCCACTGAAAATGCCCATCTGTGATATCTCCTCAGTCGCTACAGAAAGAGATGGCACAGCAACCTGCTCGTCTGCGACAGGCCCCCACACTCCTGCCCTGACACTCTCTGCTGGCACCCTGACCACCACGCACCACCTCCTGCCACTGAGCACACCGACCAGTGGCACAAGAAGGCAGTCCACGTCTCGAGAGGAGCATCCACAATGCTCAGCCACGTTGTCAGAAAGAAGATGCCCAATTCTACAGTGGAAGCCCGGATAGCAGAAATGGCCCTTGTGTAGGCCACTGTCCCAAAGCAAATGAAGGTGCAGGAACATACAGCTGGCTGAGGCCTCAGAGGCAGGACCTGGGCAACTTCTGTGTGGAAGAGGGCAGGGAAGCCAGAGTGGAAGGTATGCTGTGGCCAGCAGGACACACTTAAAGGTGCCAGGTGCCACGGAGATGCTATAGGACATGCTGCCTTATTTTTGTGATATGAAAACACCACAGCTCTCACACACTCCCTGGCAGCCTTGGGTTCCCAACCATACTTGAACTATGAGGTCTTAAAACGTCCCTAACCACAAATTCCCCAACTGCGAATTCTCCCAACAAGTGGGAGTTTAGAGGGAGAAGAGGCTGTAAGCGGCAAGTCACACCCATGGCACAGACGTTAACACCATCGTCAGGAGCACAGTGCCAAGCAAGGATCTGACTTTCCAATCGCCTTCTAGCGATAGCACAGAGCCCTGCAGAAAATTTCAAGGGCTACAAACAACACAGAAGTCAAAGGAGAAGGTCCATGACCTATTGTCCCATGAGATGGCAGCGGCTGACGGAACTCTCTGCTCACAAGGCCACATGCAGCAAGTGCTGATTCTCAAGGAAAAGCCCAGAAGCAGACAGGCGTGAAGGCTTGCAGTGTACGGAGACTGACGGGCACACCGTCCACCCTGCAGCCTGCCCAGCTTGCCCCTTCTGGCCTTGGCCACCTCTGGTGCCAGGGTACGCACGCCAGAAAGCCCAGACCACAGGCCACTGTGCCCACGGGCTGTGAAGAGAAGCTTAGAACAGCAGCTGGCAGGATCCCAGCCCCTGCCCACCTCACCCCTGCAGACAAGAGTTTCACAGGTGGCCAGAGGGGTCCTCACCTCGGCCTCCCCCATGCCCTGCCTGTTCTCCTCCCCCCAAACAAGCTCTGCCAGTGAGGAACAGGTGACAACAGGCCCCGCCCAACAGGGGCCATACAGCTGCAGGGCAGGCTAGACAGCACAGGGAGAGAGGGTCCTGGGACCCGGGGTAGTGCAGACTCCACGTGCACATGGGGGACATCTCCCAGGCAGAGAACATCTTCAACGTTGCTGAGGAATGGAAGACAGGCCCATGTGGCTGGAAAACAGAACACACGCTCAGAGGTTGGAAGGCTGCCCCCAAAGGAGAAGGTGAGCTGGAGCCAGGCAGGCACCCAGGCCAGGCCTCCTGCAGGGAACAGGTGAAAGCAGGTCTGGGAACCCCGCCTTGGGGTGGGGGCAACGTGCCAGGAGGTCAGCCCAGAGGAGGCAGGGCAGACATCCAGTCAGAGGTGGCCAGAGCCTGAGACAGAGCCTCAGCCTGGGAAGAGGGCACTGGGCAAGGGAGCCATGTAGACTCAGGGCAAGATGGCCCCACCCACACCTGGAGCCAGGGTGCACTCTGTCACCCACAGCTGCCCGCCCGTCTGGCTCCAGGGCTGTCGAGATTCTCATCTGTGCAAGCCCACAAGCCCATGGAGAACAGCTGGTATCAGCCGCCAACCACCGGCTGGGGCCCCAGAGCTCCACACACATCATCAGTGACCTGAAACCCGCCCAACGAACAGATCTACATGCGGACTTTCTCCAGAACAGTCTGGATCCCTCAGACACCACGATTCGTGGTGAGAGCTGTGACGCTGGCACCAGCACCTGCTAGTTCTTTCTACTTCTGTAAATACTAGCAATTTCTCACAGGAAGTAAAAAGCCACAGGAAAAAAGTGGGAAGACTGTTGTAGATTAGGGGTCTAGGAATGCTGACCAGATCCCAACTCAGAAAAAAATACTAAAATAGATGTTTCTAGGACAATAGGCAAATCTGCATATGGAATTAGCAAACAGACATTAGAACTGTTAGTATTTAGGAATGAAAAGTTACCATGGTTATATTAGAGCATGTCCTTGTTTAAGGGATGCATATTGAAGTGTTTAGAGATTATATGTCAATATGTCTACGTGACTTACTTTCAGATGGTCCAATAACAATAGAAATGTATATTTTCAAATAGAAATAGAAAACAACGAAGGCAAAATATTGATAATGGGTAGAGCTAAGCAGTAGGTATCTGGATAAGTAGCTATATGTACCACTCTACCAACTAAGATAAATGTTTTCATGATCAAAAGTTGCAAACATCTGCTGTAACACAGTCCCAGCCAAGAGGGGGCGTTTCAGAGATGACGCAGCTGGTGTGGGGCAGGGGTCCTCACCTGGGGTTCCCCCCTCAGTTCCCCTGTCCACAAAGCAGGGATGACTGCACCATTAAACCTGGGGTCAAGTGAACTGACATTTTCGAAGTCCTTGGGCAGTGCCCAACACACCAGGCACAGCCTCAGTGCGCATGCACAGGCAAATGAGCACCCAGGTCATGCTGGGGTCATGAGCCCCAAAACAACATGGCTGGAGCCACTGGTCTCTCTAGGCCCTCTATGCCAAGCTGCTGCTGGCCCCAACAACCTCGCCCTCCTCTCACCAGCCCTGCCCCGGCCCAGCCCATCTATCACAAAGGAGACTCCTTGGGCTGAGCTAAATTGTGTTAAGAGTGTCAGCTTTCACGAGACGGGTTTAGAGAGAATGAAGGAGGCTTTAGCCAACCAGAGCCAAAGAGCATCCACAGAGTGGAAGGGCAGGAAAAGGGGTTTGCTGCAAAGTTTCAGAAGGGGTCACCAATTCAGAAGGTAGGACAGGGGAACCGAAGCACAGAGTGCGGAAGTAACTTATCCAAGACTGCATGGCCGGTGAGTGCTGGAGCCAGTATTCCAGCCCCCAAGGCCAGTCCAGAGTCTGCCCCAGCACGAGGTGTCTGCCTGGATGGGGCATCTTGTGTGCTGTGGGCTATTGGGACAGACCTGCCCCCAAACCACCACCGAAGCCAGCATCACAATGGTGCCATGAGGGCTGAGCAAGAGCAGGATGCAGAGTCGGCCGAGGGAGGCTCACCGTCCACGCCCCACCACCTCCGCCTTGAGAGGGAGACATGGGGACCACAGCAGCACATGGTGAGGGCTCATCTCCAAAGGAGAATCACGTGCAGCCCCAGCTAGGCACCTAGGTCGGCGATCCTCCGGGGTTACTGGAGGCCTCGGTGGAATGGCGCAGAACCTACAGGTGGCACCTAATGCAAAGCGCCCTGGTGCTGAAGGGGTGCCCCAGCAGGGGCAGGCAGAACCCACAGGAGACGCCTTTCATCTGTGAAAAGGAGGTGGCACCTTGCAAGGCTGGAGAGGTGAGTCTCCCAGGGGCTTTCACATATATTTTCTCACGTGATCCACAGCTAAAACTCCTGGCAAAACTGGGAGTGGAACTGAATCTACCTGCTTCCTTAGCCCTACCCTTTCCGAGGGGAAGACTGGCCTCAGCATCCTGCAGTGATGTCTCTTGCCACATGGGGGGCCTGACAGTACCAGCAGAGCACATCACCCCAGGGGTATGGGAGAAAAAGTCAAGTTCTCTAACTGACAAGTAACTTGAACACCATTTTCATACAAAATCACACAGTTCTCTCACAGAAGAGAATGCCAAATTTGAATTATTGTTTAAAAGCCTGAAGCTCTGGCCACACCCCTTGGTGCCTCTTCCATCCCCTGCAGCTGTCTTCACATGCTCCTGCGACTGTTAGCTTGCAGTGTCTGTCCCCCAAGACTGAGCAGGGCCACCTCTCCAGCATCTTTGTACCACAGGCACTTGACAAATGCTTGCCGAATGAGATGAGTTGTGGCGAAGCACAGGATAAACAGAACCCATGGCCTAGCCAGGACCTCACCAAGCAACAGGCAGAAGGTCACAGTGAGGCAAGAAAAGGTGGTGGCCCCTGCGGTGATCTGGCCCTGGACGGGACTCCAAGTGGACAAGTCCTCGAGCTGACAACTCCAGAGTCTACCCCCCCAGGACCCATGGGCCATGCAAGTGCCTAGCTCCTCCCAATGTGGGGTGCCCAGCACTCCCCAAACTACTCTATCTGAAATTCCTCATCGAACACAGGAGTGGTCCTGTGGGGAGAGCCAGCACCTCCCAGAGACCCCCCCTCCCCCAGAACCTCACCAGGGCAATTCCCACCACATCACACATCACCCAAACTGCCTCCAGAACGTGACCACCAAACCACTGGCACAGGCACACCCTCTAAACTGTGAGTCCCACACACCAGGTCCCTCTCACCGGGAAGATCACACACTGGGGCCTACTTGGGACAGGCCTGGCTGACGCTTGGCCCAGCAGCTCTCCTCACTCCTGAAGCCTCCAGGTTGGGCAAGAGGGGGCCTCTCTGCCCGGCATCTCACGCTTTCTTACAGGGAGTGTAGTGTGTGCATGGTCTGCCTGCAGAAACAGAAATGCCTCACTTTTCCAGAGAGTTCTTTTCCAGAGCTCATCTGGAACACACGTGACTACCTATAGGACAGCAAAAAAAAGTTCTAAGTGGTAATATGCCAAGAGACACTACCAAGTTCACAAGCCAAAGCACGTGTGCTCATGTTTTAGGTGCAGGCTGGGCTCCCAGGTTGTCCAGCATCCTGCAGGCTAGACACAGAAGATCAGAAGGAAGAGGGAAGGTTGCCACAGACAAGCCAGCCATGCAGTGAGAAGCAACTGCTGAGTCTCAGGGTGATGCCTGATGCAAAAAACTGCAAAAAGGTGACCAGAACATTGGCAGCCTAACAGCAGAGTCAAGAAAGCCGTGCACCTCAACAGCAGAGGAAACTGAGGCACACAACTGTCCCCAAGGCTAGGAAGTGACAGATGGGGAACATGGCCCAAGGGAGGTGGGCCTGGTGACCATGAACACCCTGTGCTTCTCCAGGGGTGTGTGCCCTCTTGGCATCAGCCACATTCAGAAGCCTGCTGGACCCAGCACCACTTACTGGTCACAAGCACCTCCAAGGCAGGGCTAAGACCTGCCCCGTCCACCCCCAAGGGCCGTCTGGAAGACTGAGTGAGCTGGACACATGAAGAAGTTTTGTAAACCATAAGGTGTTGTGCCAGAGGCCAGCCTGCCGCCCAGACTAACCCTACTTCACCATCTCAGCTGGCTCTCCCAATCAGCAGTGCCCCTGGGTCACAAGTCAGTGGAAATTCATTTGTACTGGTAACAGCTAAGCCTACAAGGCTTATTGAAAAAATATAAGCTCTCCAGAAAATTCTAAGTTCAAAAAGAACAGTGCTGAGAAGCCCCCTCCACCTCCTCAGCCATAAACGATCTCAGGAAAGGACCGCATTCCTGCGGAGGGGTGCAGAGAAATGGGTCAAGGGCTCTGGCGCCCAGTTGGAAAGAAGTAACTCTGGGTCTCTGGGGGTGGGGGTCTGGGCCCTGCAGGGACTCGGGTCTCTGGGGGTGGAGGTCTGGGCCCTGAAGGGACTCAGGTCTCTGGAGGCAGGGTCTGGGGGGCATGCAGGATCTCGGGACGCTCAGGGGCCCTGAGGGACGGGCAGCGGGTCTCGGGGCTCTCGGACCCGGCGGATGCTCACCGGTCGCCACATCTCCCCGACGCCGCTCTGCTCCGCGCCGGCCCCGCGCCGCCTCGTATCTCAGCCCAGCAGTCCCCGCGGGAGGCCAGCGCAGTGCGCACGCGCGCCAGTGCCCATGAGCCCCGCCCCGGCAGCGGTGGGCGGGGACTGGAGGCCACGCCCCGGCCTGCCCTCTGCAGCGGAGCAGCGTCCCCTGGCGGCCAGAGGCGACCTAGCGTCTGGCGCCGGTCCCCCGCCCGCCTAGAGCCGCGGATTCGAGTCCCGCATTCGCCACGGGGCACTGTGATCTTCCCAGACCAGTCACAGGTAGTCTGGGTGCAGCGAGAAGCAGAGGGGTGAGGAGTTGGGGGCTAGGGCTCCCCGAGGTCTCCTCGGCCCCGTGCCGTGTGATCGAGGAGGATCTCTTTAACTTGCTCAGGACCTGCTTTCCTCGTCACTCACAAGCTTAGATACCGTCGTCGTCAGGTGCAGCTTGGGTTGACTCCAGCGCTGCGGTGGGCCCTGCTGGGTGCCAGGCGCCCCCAGGCCTCTGCTTCTGGCAGCCAGGACCCTCGTGTGGCCTGGCCGCCCTGCCGCGGCCCCGAGTTCCTGGATTCTCCACACTCGATTAGCCTGCTCACGCTGACCACTTGGGAAAGCGCCTGCCCCCTCCCGCCCCTCGCCCGCAGCTCTCACATCAGGGAAGCAAGCCCAGGCTGGGGGCCAGGAGGGCCATGCGGGAGCGGGGCAGGCGAAAACCCTTGGGCCAGGGCGCAGTGCCTGCCAGGGTACTGGGAGGCCCAGGGAGCCAGAGGGCAGCAGGGTCCCCCATGCCACCTCCTCCTGCCCACTCTGGGCCCTGCACCTGGCCAGGCCCTAGACAGAGGGTGGAGCTGGGATGTCCGGGTTGAGGGCTCTAAGAGCAGGTGGGGGTGCAGTGGGCAGGGCAGAGGATTCAAGGTGCCCTGACCTCAAGATGCAGAGGGGAGGCATGGGGCGTTCAGGACTGAAGCCATTCATTCCACTGTCGTGCCCACTGGAGTGTGGACCCCAGAAGGACAGCCCATGGGGAAGATGACCATTAGGACCTTGCCCCTACGAGGCCAAGCCTGCACCGTGGCACAGGCCAGCAAGAGGCCTCAGGCAGTCTGGCAGGGGCCCCTGTGGATGGGACTCAGGGCCCACCTGAAGGTCTAGGGCCATGGAAGTCCCTGGAGGCACCGGGACACCTGCACAGGCCCAGGAGGGCTTTGAGCACCCGGAACACGGAAATTAAAGTCTCCCAGCAAGCAGTGTGACTTCCAGCCGATTGGGCTGATTCAGAAAGTTACTCCCATGTAGCATTGCCGGTGCCAGATGTCAGGATTCGTACATAAGTCCATGCAGCCATGTCAGTAGCTCAGACTCAGGAAAAATGGGTGGGGGTGGGGAGGTGTCAGCTTCGCAAAATGGGTGACATGGGCTCCACAGAACAGCAGAGAGCTAGGCTTCAGGAGGTGGGTGGATGGGATATGGAGATGGGTGGATATGGCATGGAGAGAGAAGAAAGGGGCGGTCTGGAGAGCCCAGGACTTGGCTGGAGCAACAGGGTGCAAGGGGTGGTATGCCCCTGGTGGGGAAGGCAAGGACACTGCAGCCCATGGTCTTGAGGACCATGTCCCTGCTATGGGATCATGCCCTCTTTCTCCTGTCCCCGCAGTTGTTTCACTCCACTGGGTCAGCCAAACATGCACTGATACCTACCATTTAAAACACAAAAACAAACAAAACCCTCCTCCCGTGACTTGCCGTCCCAGCTGCTGGGACTCAGTCTCTGTCCCTGGGAGACCACACTAGTTTTCGCCGATGGAACATGGGCACCATTTCTGGACCTGAGCCTACAGCCTCCAGGTGATGCCCCCCTCACTGGTGTTGGGGATTCTGGGACCATCAAGTACCTCTTACCCCTTCCCCAGTGGGTTTGCTCCCGGCCCGTACCCACTCTCCTTCCTGCCCTGTCCCTCATCAGCAAGCCCAGCTTTGGCCATTGCCAGAATCCGTGGGCCCAGGTCCCCTGGCCACAGCTGCACTCTCCCATCTCCTTCCACAGGAGAGGAGCTGTCTCACCACCTGCCTGGGGGGAGGGCAAAGAAACCCCTCGCTCTGGGAAAGGGAGACAACCAGGAGAGCGGCCAGGGCTCCTGGCAGGCCCTGCAGTGGCTCACAGCCCCACGGAGAGACTGCTCCAGGCCAGTGTGTGGTCCCATATGGCCTCCAAGATAAGACCTTGGCCTTAGCCCCTTACAGGAACATCCTGATGACATCACAACCTCCAGCCCCCCAGTGGATTCTCCTCACTTTGGGGAGAGCTGTGGAGGATGGGGCCAGGCCTGGACACTAGATTCCAGCAACCACAGCTGCCACAGGACTGCCCACCACGGTCCCCCAACAGCACCCAGAGTTCAAAACTATGGTGCTCCTGGCATTGCACCTGCCCGAAGCCCTCCCAGGTTGCCACTTTGAGCATGAAATAAAAACCCCTCCTGGTGGGGCCAGGCATGCAGGTTCTGCAAGTGGAAAAATTTAGACCTCAAGACCTTTGTACACCCTCATGCCTAGGCTCCTCCCCTTCCCCCCTTCCTCCTCCTTCCCCTTCCTCCTCCTCTCCTCCTCCTCCTCTATACTGCCCCTCCTCCCCACAACTCCTCCCATACCTCCTCTTCCTCCCCCCACACCTACTCCTCCTCCCCTCTCCTCCTCCTAACTCCTCCTCCCGCTTCCCACACCTCTTCCTCCACCCCTTCCTCCTCCTCCTACAGCTCCTCCTTCTCCTCCCCCCACACCTCTCCTACTCCTCTCACATGGCTCAAACCAAGGGCATCTCTTCCACTGGGTGGTCCCTGTCCCTGGCGGAGCCAGCACCTCAGCCCCTGTCTCACGCCACTGGCTGCTGTTTTGCCTGCCTCACATGTGAAATACCCATCATTCCCAACGTAACGCATTCTGTGCTCCCTGTGCTGGCTGAGCACAGGCAGCTGTCCTCAGTGATCCTTTGTCCCCTTCCCAGGAGGGCAGTACTTGGTCCAGTCTTCACTGCCTCATCCCCGAAGTCCAGGCTGTGCTTGGCCAAGTGGACCTGGAGCCCCTCCCAGGGCCAGGCTTTCTGGAATGTTCTCAGTTGCACACATTTGACCTCTTGCAGCACCCTACACTGATTAATGGACCAGTGCAGTGCATCCGTGTGGGCTGACATGTAAGGCTCCAGGCATCTGTGAAGTGATGATGTAGGCAAGGTGTGAGCTGCACAGCTGAATAAGCTGTGACTTGCCTTGTCCCTTGCACTCTGCTGGCCTGCAGGGCTTTGTTCTGGATGGACAGCACATGCCCTGGACTGAATGTGGACACCGTGCCCTGGGTGGTGCTGCGGGGAGTCAGCATGCCAAAACCAGGGCCGCTTGGCCCAGGAGACACCAAGAAAAACCTTCCCCTGTCCCAAATGATCTCGGCTCCTGCTCCCTCACCCTCAGAAACACTCTAGATCCCAGGGCCCCGCTCTCAGCCCATCTCCCCGATCTCCTAGCACCCCCATGTCTCCCAGACATGGTGTTCCCAGTCCCTTTGGGCTACAAAACTACTGTGAGAGAAGAAAGAGTGTAAATAGGCCTGAAGAAGCATGACTTTCACACAGGTATAAAATGAGCATGTGTGTGGCCGGGCGCGGTGGCTCAGGCCTGTAATCCTAGCACTCCGGGAGGCCGAGGCAGGTGGATCATTTGAGTTCAGGAGTTCGAGACCAGCCTGAGCAAGAGCGAGACCCCGTCTCTACTAAAAATAGAAAGAAATTAGATGGACAACTAAAAATATATAGAAAAAATTAGTCGGGCATGGTGGCGCATACCTGTAGTCCCAGCTACTTGGGAGGCTGAGGCAGGAGAATCATTGAGCCCAGGAGTTTGAGGTTGCTGTGAGCTAGGCTGACGCCACGGCACTCTACTCAGGTCAATATAGTGAGACTCTGTCTCAAAAAAAAAAAAAATGAGTATGTGTGGAGTGGCTGGAACAGTGTCCCCCCTACAAGGACTCACTCCAAGTCCTAGCTCCAGAGCCTGCGCAGGAGATGTTATTTGGAAATAGTACCTTCACAGACATAATCAAGTTGAGGATCTCTAGAAGCAATCATTGTACATTAGATTGGGCCCCAAATCCAATGACTGGAGTCCTTACTGAGAAAGGAGAGGAAGATGAGGACACTGAACGAAAGGCCACGAGACATCAGGGACAGGGTTGGAGTGAAAGGACCCAGGCCAAGGAGCCTGGATGGCACTAAAGCGGGAGGAGCCCCAGAGGGTTCTTCCCAGAGCCTCAGGAGGAACCAGCCCTGTGGACACCTTGATTTCAGCCTTCTGGTTTCTAAAACTGTGAGAGAATACATTTCTCACATTTTAAGCCACCATGTTTGTAGTAGTTTGTTCTGGCAGCATTTTGACAACAAGGACAGTGTGTCAAAGGTTTATTTAAATCATTAACTAATGGGCCAGGTGTGGTGGCTCACGCCTGTAATCCTAGCACTCTGGGAGGTAGAGGCAGGAGGATCATTTGAGCTCAGGAGTTCGAGACCAGCCTGAACAAGAGTGAGACCCCCGTCTCTACTAAAAATAGAAAAAATAAGCCAGGCGTGGTAGCGCACACCTATAGTCCCAGCTACTAAGGAGGCTGAGGCAGGAGGGTTGCTTGAGCCCAGGAGTTTGAGGTTGCTGTGAACTATGATGACACCATGGCACTCTAGCCCAGGTGACAGAGTGAGACAAAAAAAAAAAAAGGCTAAATCATTAACTAATGAAAAACCAGTTCAAATGAGAAGTTCAAGAACTACAAATTCATATGAAGTAAAGAAACGCTAAAATGGACTTAAAAATAGATGTAAGACCAACTTTTTCCACAGGAAAAACAATGGAACCTTCACTGGACCGAAATTACTCACATGTCTATAAAAAGGAATTGTTGGCAATGTTATCAATTATCTGTAATTTACATATCTGTAAAATAGCTCAAAGACAGTGAGATTCAGGAACCTGGTAGAGTCAAAATCAGATAACCTGGAAAGCTGTGCTCTAAAAATGGGCACTCTTCCAC